CTGCTGCGGCACTGCTCCCGGTATCGGCGCTGAAGCCGATCTGCCCCTGGATGGTGGGGGCTCTCTGATGCCAGCCCCAGCAAGTTGTCTGGACCCCCCCGGGGTTCACCTTAGAAGCCGCTGCAGAGGTTGAGAATGCTGCAGGGAGGGAGCGCATCGGGGACAGCTTTGACTTTGTGGAGCTAGCCAGTCCTGGGGAAGCTGCTCTCCTCTTGTGCTGGGAGGTTTTTATGGCTGCTGAAGGGATAGGGTCAGGCTGCAATGCCTTGCCAAACATAAGCATACTTATCTTCATCTCCCGCTCCCTCCGGGCTCTCGAAGTTAGTTTACGGCAATGGGTGCACTTGTCAGGAACATGAGTCTCCCCCAGGCACCTAATACAAGTGTCATGGCCGTCAGCCGTGGGCATGGCTTCAAGGCATACTGAACATTTTTTAAAACCAGTTGATCCTGGCATTGTCAGTAGAGTTAAACGAAAAACTGATCCCAGCTGTGACCCCCACTCTGGGTAGTCAGTTTCACAGTCTAGCGTTCACCGCACCGCTTCTGAGTGAAAAGCGGGTTTGAAAGAAAAACTTTTTTTTTTTAAACAAGAGAATACATAACAAGTAACAGGAACATAGCTAACACTAAAATTTTTAACTATTTACAGGTAAGCAACTATCTAAAACCATAACTGAAGAAGAAATCAGGGAGCTCCGACTGCGACCTGAGGCGGTTGAGAGGAACTGACTGTTGCCGGCTCGCACGCGGCTGATCAAAGGCGCGAACGCTATCCTGGTGAACCACGCATGCGCGAGCCGGCGGAACACGGCTATGAAAGCGGCTCCGGGACAGGACCCGACACCTAGAGTGGAGCACCCACGGGGCCACTCGAAGAAGAATGGTGTCTCCCATAATGCCTTGCATCTTCCTAGTGCAGTTACCGATATGGAGATGGGGGCTGCATTGAGGAAAGTATGGTTAGTCCCTGTGATGGTAGCATCGGGTACTCAGTATGGAGGAAATCTCGTGGCAGAGGTGAAGGAGACAGTATCAGGGAAAAGGTCAGAGAAGGGGAAATAGGGCTGCTTCACACGCCAGTCTTTCCTGCGGCTTTCTTCAGTGCCGCTCCACTATTGCCCTCAGCGCCGGTGCTATAATGACTGCCGGTTCCAGAGGCGCCAAGGAGGGTGTCGGTGCCAGAGGCACCAAGGATGCCAGTGCAGGAAATCTCCTCAATGGCAGAAGTGCCAACAACCGGTCCGCAGGAATATGCGGTGCCAATGCCAATCTCGGTGCTGGCATTGCCTAAGCTGTCAGTGGCAACGTTACTGGTTCCTAATGCTTGGCGCTCATGGACGCCTTGGAAACCTCAGGGATAGTGCCGGACGTACCCGGTTTATCCCTTGCACTGACTCTGCTCGGCAAAGCAGCAGGCAGGAAGCATGTCGGAGATGCCCTTATCTTACTTGTTGGGCCCCTCTCTGGGGATGACACACTACATTTTTGAGGCACTGTACGCTCGGGCTGTGCTGGCGATGTAACGTTGGGAGGATGAAGCGCCCTGTCAAAAGGAGCATTTAAGGAGCATTTCCCTATCTTTTTGCGCTCTCGCCATCAGCTTCGAGCAGTGGGTTCACTTTTGTGGCACATGTGCCTCACCCAGATATTAGATACACACTACATGGCCGTCAGAGGCTGGCATGGCTTTGTGTCAAAGGCTATACTTTTTAAAACCTGGGGATCCAGGCATTGTGGGAGTGGTTGAAACTCGTGTCCCATTTCTTCCGCTTCTTTTTTTTTTTTTTAAATGGCTAAAAACCGAAAAACAGTCTGAAGGATTTGGGGTTTTTTCGAGAACGATAATGAATACCAATGATCTAACTATACACTAACAACTATATCAGCATTTTAACTATTTACAGAAGAAGTTCTGTCAGAGACCAGGTGAGATGAGGCGCTCCGTCTACAACCGAGAATGGCTGAGAGGAACTGGCCGGAAGCGGACTGCGTGCGACAGGAAAAGGGAGTGAATAGCGCAAGATACTCACTGTGCATGTGCGAACCGGCTGACTACAGCTAATAAAAGTCTCCGATCTGAGGCGCTGAGATGAGCCAGACACCTACAGTGGAGCACCCACGGGGACACTACTCCAAGAAGAAACTTCCCTTCTTCGATGCTACCCATGGATGCTCGACCTTCGAATCATAGAATATAAGCACTGGAAGGGACCTCAAGAGGTCATTGAGTCCAGTCCCCTGACCTCATGGCAGGACCAAATACTGTCTAGACCATCCCTGATAGACATTTATCTAACCTACTCTTAAATATCTCCAGATGGAGATTCCACAACCTTCCTGGGCAATTTATTCCAGTATTTAACCACCCTGACAGTTAGGAACTTTTTCCTAACATCCAACCGAAACCTCCCTTGCTGCTATTTAAGCTCATTGCTTCTTGTTCTATCCCCAGAAGCCAAGATGAACAAGTTTTCTCCCTCCTCCTTATGACACTCTTCTTTTAGATACCTGAAAACTGCTATCACGTCCCCTCTCAGTCTTCTTCTTTCCAAACTAAACAAACCCAATTCTTTCAGCCTTCCTTCATAGGTCATGTTCTCTAGACCTTTAATCATTCTCGTTACTCTTCTCTGGACCCTCTCCAATTTCTCCACATCTTTCTTGAAATGCGGTGCCCAGAACTGGACACAATACTCCAACTGAGGCCTAAGCAGCACAGACTAGAGCGGAAGAATGACTTCTTGTGTCTTCCTCACAACACACCTCTTAATGCATCCCAGAATCAGGTTTGCTTTCTTTGCAACAGCATCACAATGCTGACTCATATTCAATTTGTGGTCCACTATAACCCCTAGATCCCTTTCTGCCGTACTCCTTTCCAGACAGTTCCTTCCCATTCTGTATGTATGAAACTGATTGTTCCTTCCTAAGTGGAGCACTTTGCATTTGTCTTTATTAAACTTCACCCTATTTACCTCAGACCATTTCTCCAATTTGTCCAGGTCATTTTGAATTGTGACCCTATCCTCCAGAGCAGTCGCAACCCCTCCCAGCTTGGTATCATCTGCAAACATAGTAAGAGTACTTTCTATACCAATATCTAAATCGTTGATGAAGATATTGAACAGAGCCAGTGCCAAAACAGACCCCTGCGGAACCCCACTTGTTATGCCTTTCCAGAGGATTGTGAACCATTAATAACTACTCTCTGAGTACGGTTATCCAGCCAGTTATGCACCCACCTTATAGTAGCCCCATCTAAGTTGTATTTACCTAGTTTATCGATAAGAATATCATGCAAGACCATATCAAATGCCTTACTAAAGTCTAGGTGTACCACATCCA